GCATTTTTCAAGCCGTCCGCCTCCACGGCGTCTCATGGCCACGAGTTCCATAAGCTGCTTACACGCCGTGTGAAAAAGTACACCCTTTCACTAGATTTAAACCTACTGCCTAATAGGTATTAGGTCCTGTCCTAGTTGTGTCACGTCTCGTTCTAGCACTGAGAGCCATCAGACAAACTAGATCCCTATCGACTGTCCGTACCATTTAGTATTTGGTAAACTTCCATGCCTTCCCCACTTGAAAAATCTTATGTTTTGAAGTGAACTTTCTCAGTGCACAGAAATGGGCTCAGGCAGAACAATGCCCCACATGGCAAATTAAGTATATGTCAGCAATACATCATGCCCATTCAACAGATACCTTTTAGCCTCTCTGCACATATTTTCTAATGCCTCTAAAGGGCTGGCCCCCAAATGCACAAGTTAGTGGTAGCCATGGGATCAGAGCCCAGGAGTTGTACAATCCTTGGGTCACTGCCCTTTACCCATGCAGAAAGACCTGACTGGCACCACTTACCAGCTTGCTGCAGAGAGAGCCTACAAAACCCCAAAACAAGTTGTACCTGATATGGGGAAGATGTTGGGAGGGAAGTGAGACTACGTAGGTGGTCCAAGAAAAGATATTACCAAACACACCTTGCCTCTTCTGTGTTCCCTGAACCATCAAGGCCACAATGCACTAACTTTGATGTTGAGTCAGGCATGGCTGAGGAACAGAGAAGGGGAAAGTACCCCACCACGGACCAACGAGCAGACAGAAGATGGACTACGGTTGTGTAAAGGGAGAAGACATAGGGGAATAAGGAGCTTCATAGATGACTGCTGGAACAAGGAAAATAAAACCCTTCAAAAGGCTCCCAGATATCATTTCCTGATGCGCATCCGCTCCAGAAGGCAGACCTCCCTGGAGGAGCCCTGGCATCCCTGATACCTTGGGCTGCTGCCCTTGTCCACCAGTAGCAGATCTGCCGTCCGAGATCTTGGAAGAGTTGGGGAGGGAGGCACAGATGTTGCAACAATAAAAATATTTCCATCCCTGTGGGTCCCTACATCAACAAATTCTGCCCCCAATCCACGCCTCCTTCCTCACCTGGATTCACCTTCCAACCAACAACTCTTCTTCTCAAAGCCAAAGTGAGCCCTGAATTTCCATTCAATTTAGGAAGGGGAAATGTGATCTGTGGTTCTCAGCTGGAGGGAGCTGGTTTCTATGCTCAGCTCACAGAAGAAAGAAAAAGGTCTTCAGTCCTTGGACAAGTCAGACACTTGACCTAGTAGTACTGGCTGACCTCACACAACGGTTGTGAGGTTAAATCTGCTGCCTCTGTTAAGATGCCTGGAGAAACTCAGCAGGAAAATGTCATAGAGGGAGAGTAAAATGGTGTTGCTTTCACTGAAGGAAAGCAGAAAAGCAACCTTTCCTGCAGGAAACAAACTCAGCTGGTTTAAAGTGGAATTTTCCATTCATGTAAAAGGCCAGATTTTAAAATGAACTTTCTGAATCATTACTAGATGTCAGAAGGTCAGTGAAAGCAAACGCATCGGTGGGGTGAATAAAAACAGCATCTTTAAAAATGTCAGTGAACATTTTTTCACTTTCTCTCTCTGAAGGGGAAAATCCAAAGTGCTCCTGCATTAGGTGCCTTAGAAAACCCTCGTTAACACTCTCCTTTTGCCACGATGCCAACAAAAAGCACACCAGTGCACACGTTATTGGTTGGGACCCCTGTCCATCACTGTTACCTTGCAGCTGCTTATATCCATCTGTTGTCCTGTCACATGCTTAGCTTGGAAGCTCTTTGGGACTGCCTTTCTGTTGTTTGGCATGTCTACAGCTGACACTATAGGAATAAAAAAAATATATTTTTTTCTTGTAGAAAAATATCAGATTTGCCAAAACTGCATTTTCCTACTGGAAAGTCTTCCTGCCAAAAATTGCAACCAGAGACAACGATCATTTTTCCCTCCATAAACTCACCTCCTCCGTCTCGCCTGTGGGCACACAATTAAGTAACTGGTATGGGGAAAAATGAAAAAGCCCTATTAATTAATCATCTTCCTTCCCACAACCATAAAACTTGATTACCTTATTATCTTGGCATGAACAGCTGCAAACACTATTATCAGTTCAGATGTTATCGAGCCCTTATGTAAATACAGGCCTAGCAGCAGCAAGGCCAAGCTCTCATTGCGCTGATGTTTAACTTGCACAAGAGAAATGTTTCTTCTAGGTTTCTTTACATTTCCTGCTTTTTTTTTTTGGCAGCCAGCCCCTTGTACTATTTCTTGTCCTGCAATTGATGGGATTGGCTAGAAGAAAGCACTCTTAAAACAGTGAGACACGCCCTTACACAGGACACACCTGTCACAAGGCTTGATTACAGATACGAGTCTGCTAGAGCCTCGAATTTAGGAGTGACAGCACAGGTTAGACTGTAGACTCAAGATGCGCCAATGCCTGATGCTGAACTCCCATAGAGGGACGTCACATTGGGCATTTTCACAGTTATGCACACCTTTAAAGCAGGAAGCAGCCAACGGGGGGGAGGTCATCCTTATTTCTGCTCACAAAGGGAGACTGAGACATTGAACATGGAAGCACCATGTATCATATCAGCTATCCCTCGATACAAGGACGATGTCGGTCAGCAGGAGGATTAGTGGCGAGTTTTAAGGCGGTGGAGGAGTCCAATCCTTGCTTTGCAAGCTTTTCTGCAGATATAAGTGGTGCCTTGGGATATACACAACTGTTGGCCAAGATGTTGCGTGCTTTCCTTCCTCGTCTGCCATTCCTCAGCTTCCTGAGCAAGACAGTTCTCTCTGAAGTGGGCTGTAGCTTGATGTCTGGTGCCGTACCACAGCACTTCCAGGGGACCTTCAGGGGAAAGAGAGGCAGCAGTTTCTGTAGCAGGCAGCAATTTGTAGAGGTATGGTCTGGTATTTGTATCGCTAGAGCATCAACCAGCCACCTATGAAAACACACCTGGGCACTTACAACCTAATCGAAGACAAGATAAAGTCAATCACCCTCCACGACCAAAACCACCCTCTGCTGAAGAAGAACCCAGCTAAGGAAGAAGTTCAACAAAGGCCCTTTTCCAGGAAGATGCCACTTTGTCTCTGCAGGGGACAGGGTTAACGGCCACCCCCTGCAGCCGAGATCACCAGAATAGTCTCCGATCCAAGCAGTTGCCGAAGGGGTCTGTGCGGTGCCAGGTTTCCTCACAGCTGCCTCCCAAGACTGCGGAAAAAGATCGCAAGTAAAACACAACTCCTGGTCTCCTTTGATAACCAAATCTTGTTCAACCAGAGAAATGATATGCGTCTCCCAGCCCAGTCCCACTCTCTTCTCCTCTTCTGGCCCACATTTCACCTTAGCCACAACTTGGAGGCCTGACTAGTCCATTTGGTGTCGCTTCATTGACTTCAGTGGGTTCCTGCAAACTTCAGCCAAGTGATGGGACGACTCGAGCCTGGAATTTCTGCCCACAAACCCGTGACAATTCTGAGATCTCTGCTACAACGGCCGTCAGCAAGGCTCTGAAAATGTGTGCTGCAACCCTAATTGCTGGGGCCAGTGCAATCGTTAAGGAATGGCTGGTCTTTCCAAGGAATAAGAGCTGCCGTATTTTCCACTTAGAAATCAGCAGGTATATTTTAGAGCAACTCTCTTGGTGGGTGGCTGACCAGCACAGTACTTTGATTGAAATATAGTATCTTAGACGATGGGGTATCCAGGGTGAGTAAGAGCTGTCTGGCAAAGAGAGGATTGGCAAATGAACTTTCTGAAGAAACAGTGGAAACTTCTTTCACCTCCGTAAGAAAGACACGTGCATCTCCAGGGTATGGATCCAAGTACAAACATAGGGAGTTGGCTCTGGCCCAGCAAGAGGAGAGACAAGACAACAGGAAAACAGGGATCATTTCACCCAAATACAGAAGCGAACAATGTGCACAACTTAACTACTCATGAGTCTAACCCCTTGTTCTAACAGTGCCTTAAGCACAGGATTAGGAAGCCACCCTAACCCTTGCTCTGATAATTGTTGCCTCTCTTGACAGATGCCAGCCACTTCACTTTCGGGTCTCTATTCCCCTGTTGTGACAAATGAGGTTCATTAGGATGCTGATAGGATTGGTTTTCAAAGGGTTCAGGACAAGACAACTGGCTCCCCGCTCACTTAGGGATCAAAGGCTATGATGACTGCTTTGCACTTGGGAAATGTTTCACTTGGATTCTTATCCATATATGTCTCCAGAAAAGACACTGGCTACTTTAGCTATGATCCAGCATCCTGATACCATCAAGGAAACCACGAGAGCAGAGCAGATGCTGCTTGTGGGACACTAGAAAGCACGAAAGGTGGAAAATGATACCACACACGGAGTTAGCTTGGCTCATGTTAATAGCTGCTGTGCTATACCATGTGTATGAGTGTGCCAGACGATATTTTCACACATTACTGTCCATCCATCTTGGGCAGAATCAACAAGGCTCTCCTTGTCGTGCTACATCAGACCATTTTTGTTGGACACAGTGCCTTTTCTGAAGCATAAATGGGTTTTGTTTTACTCTTCACATGCCATTATAGTTGAAGAGCTGGCTGTCTAGACATCTGACAAGGCCACTGAGTAGTCCCATTGGACGACATTAGGAAACTCAACATACAAACTCTTTATAATATCCTGTCATGAGTAAAATCATCTACAAGTGATGGACCCAGTGGCTGGAGGGCTGGATGAAGTTCATACCTCAGTTAAGAAGCCTGACATTCCCAGAGCCAAACTCAGCTGAGTTCTTCTGGCCTTAGCAGAACACAAAATGCAAAGCATGCATCTATGTAGGAAGCCCCACACATCAAGCAGAGAGTAATCTGTCTTCAGTCACCAATCCCATTATCTTTTTACTGCTGGATAAGAAAGAGAGCCGTATAACCTTCACACAAGACAAAAAGCCTGACCCATGCAGTCAAGAGTGGAGGACACCTGTAAACACAGTGTTTGCTGAAAATAAATACCATTTATTATCTTTCCAACTGCTGAAACTGCAGTAGTTGTTCTGCAAGCAGTTGTTCTTCCTCATGTTATTTATTGTTTCCAAAGTAACACACCACTCGGCAAGGAAGTTATGGAATAAACTGTTCTGATGAGACTGACCTAAGGTCTTATGTTCTACTCTGTCCATGCTTACGTTGCCGCTTATCCTAAACTACCATTTTGCTTCAATATAAAAGTCAGGCATGAATATCAGACTCTCTGCTCCTCTTCTTATCACTCCTGTGGCTACCAGTTTTACAGTACACACACTCTCTTTCATCACGGTTCAAAAAAAGAATAAAAAAAAAATAAAAAGCCTAAGTAAGGAACTGGTCCATTGTGAAATTCCAACTGCCTCTTGCCCAGAAGTTGCAGACAGCAGGCACTAGGATTTGTCAGTCCAATTTTGCTGTCAACTCTCTTCCAAGTCCGCTCTGCTCAAGCTCAGCTATGACTGACATGTACTTAAATTCGTTAGGTCTGTGGTTAAAGGTCTCCACTAATCCAAAGGTTTCTGAACGATCTGTTGCGTAGAAAAGCTGGACCTGGTTAGCAATGCACTGGGCTTCAGAGACGTTCTGCATGGTTGGGAAAAGGAGAGAGAGAGAGAGGACCAGTTAGATGAGATATTGCCTTAATATTGATGCAACAGCACCCTGCTATGAAAGGATGTAAACAGCACCTCCTCCAGCCTACTGAACAAGCCTCCTATACCTCCTGACTCAGCTCAAAACTCGCCACAATCCTGCTCCATCCTGTTCCTAACTTGCTTACTCTTCCATAAAGCTGGTCTCTTTGTCAAGTCTCCACCATCCCTCTCAAGTCCCCCCCTCCCTATAAGCCACTATGGATTCAGATCTCCCCTTCTCCTTCTAGATGCCTGCCTTCCCCTGTAAAAGTATTCAGCCTAACTCATACGAAATATAACTCATAACAAAGGCCTACTCTACAGGCAGATTTCTGCAGTATGATCTGGGGAGTCAGGGTGTACGTTTTAGTAATAGCTAGACCCCTTAAGTGGAGGTAGCTATAAAGTATCTTGCACTCTTATATTCTTCACAACAGAAATTTGTTGGACCATGTTGACCACCACAGGAAGCCCTTCCAGGAGGGCATGAAGGAACCCAATGAACATGTCACACATTGTTCTCATCCTCTCCCCAAACGAAGAAATGTGTATGGTGGACAGTTGTATGTGGTGCGTTCTTGCCCACATGGACGCTTACATTCGTTAGAGAATGCAAGGTCCTAAATAAATACAATCATCTTGTACTTAAGAGTGGAAGGCAGGGAGATCTGTGATGATCTTTATCCCACTGTTCTGGAAAAATATCTTCCCATACTGAAATCCCTTCATATCCATATCTACAGCCACAGCAGGAAATGATACAAATGGAGGGTGGTTCACCTTGTGCAGCCATGCCCAACAGATGGCCAAATTTCACCTCCATTTTCAAACTACTACAGAAAGGCTTGGATGTTATCAAATGCATTAGCCACATAAAATTATGCAAATCGTTTCCCACTCGGATTGCCGGCCAGCAGTTTTTCGTGAATTTTCACTATTCAAGTGGGGGTGTCCAGTTTGACCGGACATTGAGATCACACATTGTGCTTCTAGCCCTTGACTGGATGAGGAACTCTAAAAGGGCTCTACAGGACTTAACTTCTAATTGCTTTTAATTAAATATTGCAAGAGTGGATGTTGTTATAAAAGCCAAGCAAGCAAAGACAGGCTTCTCTTACCAAGAACTTGGAGTCCATTTCTGCTGTCATCAGCACTATTCCCTTTTCCTTCTGCAGTTCGGGATAGTGGTATAAGATCAACTGGCTGGCAGCGGCTTCACCTTGGGTCTGCAAGAGAAAACGTGACTTTGTGATAGTGCCCTCTAAAAAGCTCTAGCTTCACTGCATGTTAACAGCTAGGCTGAGAGTGCACTTGAATATCAATGGTATTAACACAATACATTTAATATTAATTAATATGAATTTTAAATTAATTATTTTTATTTGTTAAAATGAAATAAAATGAAATAAAAAGAATAATTAATTAAAATAATATTATTTAATATTAATTCAAGGTGATTTGCATCATCACAGAACCTCACAGGAGGCGAGAGGCTCCATACCAGCTATGAACTGACTGCCCAGAGGAGCTTTCCATCTCTTGACTCCTCTGTGAAATCCTATGAAATATGAACTTTCATTTCTACCCAGGAGAACTTTTACAAGCTTTTTTCCAATGCCCGATGAAGGGTGTTTGTGCCCAAAAGCTTGCAATTAAAGAATTTTTTTGCAACAATTTTGCTGGTCTAATAAAAGATATCACCTCTACTATGAGTCCTAATTACTTTAAATATTAACTTCATACACCTCAGTCAAGAGTTCCCGCCCTGTCCTAGCAAGGTCAGAGTAAGGCTGCTTTTAATTAAGAGCTGATTAGTTGCAATTTCATGCGTTTATATTAAACAGTGATTCATAGAGTTTAAAGCCAAAGACAACCAGGTCATTGTGTGGTCTCATTTTCTTTGCATCACAGGCAATTAAGTTTCACCCAGTTACTCCTATATTAAGTCTAATTATATGCATTTGACTGAAGCACAACTTGTATTTGGCTAAAGCAGAATTACAAATAAGGTATCTAGTCTTAAAACATCAAGCAATGGAGAATTCACCACTCCCCTAATTTGTTTCCCTGGGGAGTCTCTCTTACCATTAAAATGTGTCCCTTATTAGATTAAAGGGATCATCAGAGCCTGTGAAAACCTTTAAACCTTAATTAAATTCGCTCCTCGAAGCTAAATCAAACTGAGCCCTCAGAGTGTCTCACTATAAAGATTTTTTTTCCAGATCGTAAATAATCTGTGGGTCTTTTCTGAAATTTCTCCAGGTTTTGTTTTGTTGGGTTTTTTTTTTTAAAACCTTGAAAAGATACTAGAAATACTCTGCAGAGTTCTCTTAGCAATCTTTGTGTGGAGGAAAGCACACGTCCCCATGCCTCTTCACCACTCCCTTTTTAATGCATCTTTTTGCCATAGCATTGTACTGGGACAGGGTCTCTTCAGGGTCTTTGCTGTCCAGGATGTTGTTCAACACTGCTGTAGATGACAGAAGGATGGCTGCACCCCCCGTTCCCAGACATCTCTTGTGGTGTTTCGCTAAGAGGGGTGGGCAAAATGGCAGAGTGGCACAGGCTGGGCAATGGAGTCCACCATGGGCCCAATCTGGCCTGTGGGCCAGGCTTTGCCCACCCCTGCTCTACAAAAACACATTTCATTTTGCCAGACCCCAGCTTACCAAGCAATCCAGCCAGCTCCGTAAGACTGCTCTGGCCTTCTTGTTACATGCCACACTGCCAATCTTTGTCCTAGCCACAACATTTATCAGTGGTGATTTCATATTCATTCCTAGATGATTGATAAAAGTACAGAATAGCCTCAACACCAGTATCAATTCCTGTACAACTCCACTAAACACACCCTTATTTAATGTTCCCCAGCTGATATCTGTCAGCCAGCCACTTCTCAATCCATGTAGCACGTATTAGTATTGTATATTGATGTTTTAATTACAAAAGGTCACAGGGTACTAAGTCAAAGCTCATCGAAGCTGAAGCATCTCACAGGTATGCAGTTAATTTTATCATATGTGAAATCTCAAAGAATGCAATCAGAGTTGACAAGATGTATTTTCCATAAAACCCTGCTGACTGGTATTAATTATATTCCTTTTTCAACTCTTTAAATCTGTATTGGCTTTTCCATTCTTTTGCTGGAGACAGATGTTGGTCCAACCAGCCTACGCTTCTGTGCATCATTTCTTTTGCTGTTTTTGAACACTGGGTCAACATGAGTGCTTTCCCAGCCTCCTTGAGTTTCCCTGATATTCCAAGACTTATTAGAAAATAATATTGGTGGGCCTGAAATCTCCTCAGACAACTCTTTCGAGATTCTTAGGTGCAGGTTATCAGGGACTGTTGAAAAAAACACAATTATCCCCAGCAGATGTTGGACACCATTCTTTTTAGTTACAAATGTATTGAAAATGCATCGTACGAGGATGTTGAAGTAATTTTAACACCTTGGCTCTTTACAGGTACAGGCCAGAAATATCTGCTGAAAACTTACTGTTCTGTGCATCACCTACATTTATCTGCTAGGAGGCCTTCATAAATGCTAGGATTTGTTTTGTTCCCAATTATTCAAAACTCATCCCTACTGTCCTTAGCCCTGGATTCTTCCCCATTTTGAGCTTCCATTATCAAAGTCCTGCCCTCCATAACCTCTTATTTGTTATATTAGCTAATTTATTTCTAATTTATTACTTTTACTTTGCTATACAACTAGGACTGACTTTTAACTGCATTGGCTTGCTTTCTTGACAATGAACTCAGTTTAAAACTCTATTTTCATTCACTTTTTTGTCTAAATCTTTCTTCCCAATTGACTCCATTTTTA